GAAGATGGATAGTTCAAGCTTGGAATCGAGAAGTTTGATGGATCCGATTTCAGTTTCTGGAAGATGCAGATCGAAGATTATCTGTACCAAAAAGATCTTCACGAACCGTTGACCGGGGTGAAGCCGGAATCCATGACGGAGGAGAAGTGGAAACTCAAGGATCGCCAGGCTCTAGGGTTGATCCGGTTGACTTTATCAAGAAACGTGGCGTTCAACATCGTGAAGGAGAAGACTACGTCCGGTCTGTTGAAGGCACTGTCAAACATGTATGAAAAACCATCGGCTATGAACAAGGTATATTTGATGCGTAGATTGTTCAATTTACAGATGTCTGAAACTGGATCCGTTTCTGATCATATAAACGAGTTCATTATGATTGTGAGTTAACTCAATTCTGTGGATATTAATTTCGAAGATGAAATTAAGGTGTTTATTTTGATGGCATCTCTGCCCGAGTCTTGGGATACTGTTGTTGCTGAGATTAGCAGTTCCCGTGGATCTGAGAAACTGAAGTTTGATGAAATCTGTGATGTTGTTCTTAGCGAAAGTATTCACAAACGAGAAGTGGGAGATTCATCGGGCAGTGCTCTCAGCGTTGATCGAAGGGGGATAAGTAAGACGAAAGGCCAAAATCAACATAGTCGATCAAAATCAAAGAATCGAGGAAAATCCCTGAACAGATCAAACGTGACTTGTTGGAACTGTGGAGAAAAAGGACACTTTCGGACGAACTGTACAAAGCCAAAGAAGAAACAGAATCAGAAATTTTGAGATGACAATGATTCTGTAAATTCAGCAGAGGACATTAGGGATGCTCTAATCCTTAGTGTGAACAGCCCGGTTGAATCATGGATTTTGGATTCTGGTGCATCTTTCCATTCGTCTCCAAGCAAGGAGTTGTTCCAAAATTTCAAATCTGGAGATTTTGGAAAAGTATATCTTGCTGACAATAAAACCTTAGAGATTGAAGGAAAGGGAGATGTTTGCATAAAGACCACATCGGGAAACCAGTGGACATTGGAGGATGTCAGATATATTCCTAGGATCAAGAAAAATCTGATCTCTGTTGGTCAGTTGGATAGCAAGGGATATGCAGCAGAGTTTGGGAAAGGTTCGTGAAAGATCATGAAAGGTGCTATGGTAGTAGCTCGTGGCACCAAGTCTGGAACTTTGAAGTCTGTTGATATGGGTCTTTGCGAGAGCTGTGTTATCGGCAAACAGAAAAGAGTAAGCTTCACAAAGACTCCTAGAGAGCCAAAGAAAGTGCGGTTGGAAATGGTCCATACAGATGTTTGGGGACCATCTCCAATATCATCACTTGGAGGATCCAGAATCTATGTTACCTTCATTGATGATTTCAGCAGGAAGGTATCGGTTTACTTCTTGAAGCATAAGTCAGATGTGTTTGAAACTTTCAAGAAGTGGAAAGTTGAAGTTGAGAATCAGACCGGTTTGAAAGTCAAATGCCTAAGGTCTGACAATGGAGGAGAGTATGACAAATCAGAGTTCAAGGCATTATGTGCAGTTGAGGGAATCAGATTCATGAGAACAGTTCCTGGTAAGGCAAGGCAGAATGGAATTGCTGAGAGGATGAACAGAACATTGAATGAGCATGCAAGGAGTATGAGGATACAATGTGGGCTGCCCAAAACACTTTGGGCGGATGCTGTGAGCACAACTGCATACTTGATCAACAGGGGACCATCAGTTCCTTTATGATTCAAGATTCCAGATGAGGTGTGGACAGGAAAAGAACTCAAGAACTCACACTTGAGGACTTTTGGTTGCACTGCTTATGTTCATGTTGATCCAGAAAAGAGATATAAGCTTGATGCCAAGGTTGTGAAGTGTTACTTCATAGGATATGGTTCTGATTTGTTTGGTTACATGTTTTGGGATGACAAGAACAGAAAGATCCTGAGACATTGTGACGTGACATTTGATGAGTATGTCCTGTACAAGGACATAGAGCAGAAGGTTCTAGAGATTACAAAGCAAGTGGGAGTTGAGGTTGAGTTGGAGAAGAGTAACCCCAGAGATGTCGAAGCAGATACTCAACCAACTCCTACTGAAGAATCTGAAGTGGAGCAAGTTACACTTGAGCAGGTGTTAAGGAGATCATCCAGATCCATCAGGGCACCAGATAGGTATTCACCTTCATTATACTATCTATTGCTGACTGATGAGGGGGAACCAGAGTCTTTTGATGAGGCCCTACAGGTGGAGGATTCGATCAAGTGGGAGCAAACCATGGATGATGAGATGAGGTCACTTGAGAAGAACGACACATGGGTGTTGACTGAGTTACCTGCAGGGAAAAGAGCTTTGCTGAACAAGTGGGTGTTCAGAATCAAGACTGAACCAGATGGCAAAAGAAGGTTCAAGGCTCGTTTAGTGGTTAAAGGATATTCACAAAGGAAAGGTATTGATTATGCTGAAATATTCTCTCCTGTTGTGAAGTTAACCTCTATTTGAATTCTGTTGAGTGTTGTTGCATCGGAGAATTTGCATCTAGAGCAAATGGATGTAAAAACAGCGTTTTTACATGGAGATCTAGACAAAGAGATCAATATGCAGCAACCGGAAGGATTTGTGGTTCCAGGTAAGGAACACATGGTGTGCAAGCTCACCAGGGGCTTGTATGGACTAAAGCAAGCACCAAGGCAGTGGTACAAGAAGTTTGACTCCTTCATGACCAAGACTGGATTCTGCAAAGCTGAAAAGGATCCTTGTTGTTACTTCAAGAAATACACTGATTCATATGTCTTTCTACTCTTGTATGTGGATGATATGTTGATTGCAGGATCTAGTATGAGAGAGATTAACAATCTGAAGACAAGGTTGTCTGCAGCGTGTGAGATGAAAGATTTAGGTCCAGCAAAGCAGATTTTGGGGATGAAGATTTCTCGAGATAGATCTGCTGGCAATTTAAATCTATCTCAGGAGTTGTACATTGAGAAGGTGCTGAGCAGATTCAGGGTTAATGATGCTAAACCCAGGACTACTCCATTGACAAATCACTTTAAATTGTCAAAGGAGCAGTCACCCACGACTGCCGAGGAGCGTGATCACATGGCACTTGTTCCATATGCTTCAGCAGTTGGTAGTTTGATGTATGCTATGGTCTGCACTAGACCTGATATAGCACATGCAGTGGGAGTTGTTAGCAGGTACATGGCGAACCCTGGGAAAGAGCATTGGGAAGCTGTGAAGTGGATTCTGAGATATCTGAGAGGTACATCCAGTACTTCACTTTGTTTTGGCAAAGGCAAGGTGACTCTACAGGGTTTTGTGGATGCTGATCTTGGTGGGGATGCTGACTAGAGCAAGAGTACATCCGGGTACATTTACACCATAGGTGGAATAGCAGTGAGTTGGATGTCCATGCTTCAGAAGTGTGTTTATCTTTCATCTACTGAAACTGAGTATGTGGCAATAGCTGAAGCTGGGAAAGAAATGATATGGCTTGCAGATTATCTTGAGGAATTGGGCAAGAAGCAGAGCGAGAAGATTCTTTACTAAGATAACCAGAGTGCCATACAGTTGGTGAAAATTTCAGTCTATCATTCGAAGACAAAGCACATCAGAAGGCGATACCATTTCACTCGCAGGGCAGTGGAGGATGGTGATGTGTGCTTGGAGAAGATAGAGGGTGCAAATAACCCGGCAGACATGTTGACGAAATGTGTTGATGTTGGGAAACTGAGGTTATGTAAAACCTCGGTTGGTCTTCTGTAGTTGTTGCTACAGATGTTGCGGTGCGGTAAAGATGTTGATGATGAAAAGATTTTTTTTAGAATGTATTTTTTGGATGACTGAGTCAGTCTCCAAGTGGGAGAATTGTTAGGTAGTGGAGCCTGATTAATTTTAGGTTTTCCTATTTATTCTCTATTTTAGGTTTTCCTATTTATTCTCTATTTTAGGTATTCCTATTTATTCTCTGTAACAAAAAATACTCTCATTTATTAATATAAATATATACCTCACCGCCGTGGAAGTTTACTCACGGGGTGTTACCACGAAATATTGGGTTTTCTTTTTCTCTCTCTAGATCTCTCGTCTCTTTCTCTTGAAAGTTCTTGTGTTCTTCATTCATCTACTGTATGTGCGTGAATTCGATCCTAACAGTATCATGTCCATTTTGTTATATAAATCCTTTTCATTCATTAGTACCATTTGTATCCTTTTTTACATGTTGTTAGAGGTAGCTCATCTACCGAAACAATTGAAAATGGGTCTTCAAAAGAAAGTCTAGACTTACTTCTCCAATTCTAAAGACTTACTTCTCCAACACCAAAAGAACAAGAACGTATGATCAGCTAAGGACCCTCCAACCAGCCTAAGAGATGCAACAAGACTCGCAAGTGCCACAACAGTTGTCCTTTGCAGCCCTAATGGGATCAGAAACTTGAATGAACACAAATATCGATGATATAGGCCAAAAAAATGTAGCAGACCTGTATATCATCATTAAATACCAAATGTTTGGTACCATATTTCACCAATAGTTCAAAAGCGTTGTGATTCGCAAAATCTTCATAATGTAGATGACGTTACAAATATCAGACTTAGACGTTACATGAAAGGCGATTGGTCCTCAGCAAGTTTCAAATTACTAACCTGTACAAGAACTTTTCTCGGTAGTTTTGCTTCACAACCTTCATGAATTCATCAAGAACGTCATAGTATTCCTACAAGAAGCAAAAAAGAAACAGACATATCTCAAGAAGATGCTGCAAATCTCAATGTATGTTTACTTACAATAAGTACGATGAAAACAGTTGAATTTGTAGCCATTAGAATAATCAGATTTGTAATATAAGAGAAAACAAATAATAGAGGTTGATGGTGATATGAATACAAATAGTTTTGAAGCATAACCAACTTGCTTCCTTATATGCAATCCATACCTAAAAAAATCACATGAAAAATGTCACAATAGAACTTAACTTATAGCATTGAATACTATTGCATGCTAATGAAACAGATTGAATCACAATTTAACAGGAAATGGTAGCGTAAATCAAATAACCAACAATCATACATTTTGCAATAAGATGTTTCTACTACGACTTCTACATCCTCACTAAACAATTTTTTTGGCCAAATGAAGTCACTAAAGAGTTTGAGAATTTCAGTTCATTATTTGGCAAATACCAACATGGACAGCTAAACCATGAAAAGTACAGCAAGATTACAACAAAATAAACCTAATTAAAATAAAAATTATATTTACAAATAGCGGGGGTTTAAACTCTGGCTATTAATTTGAATTTTTCTCTTTCTAGATGACGGAATTTTAAACCCCCACTATTTACTTTTATTTTTCGTCAAATATTAAAATCTCCTCTATTTAAGGTAATTTGTGGAGGTTACAACTAATCTCCGCTTTGTAACCCCACGATTTCGGCCTTTTTGTGTAGTGGACCATTTGGTATTCTTAATCATGCATTTAGCATGATAAGATCCTCCTTGTCCTTACCATTGGAACAATGCTCCTTGTCCTTACCATTGGAACAATTATGAGAAAATGACAGAAATAGTCCCTTAATTATAGGAGTAGGTCTAAAATGGTCCTTTAATTATACACTTGACAGATATAGTTCTTTAACTGTTTAGAAAATTGTCAACTCTGGTCCCTTAACTATACACTTATCAGTTTTAGTCTCTTAACTATAAAATTACTGATTTTAATCCTTTAAGTATTCAAAAACTTATCAGGTTTGGTCTTTTCTCATTTGATAATATAAATAGGTTAGATTTATATTAACAGAATTCATGTCTCGACAAATTAAATCTTTTAGCAATTTTTTCTGTTGTTCCTCTTTCTGCGCTTCTTTGTCTTCAAATTAACCTAATGTTAAGAACCTTAACCTTAACGATTCAAAATAAAATTCACGGAAAAAAATATAAGTCATAATTTTATTTACCGGAGGATACAATGAAGCATATTTATTGCTACTAATGACTTGAATATGCAAATCTTTATTATAAAAATAAAAAATTATTCCTCGTTAAATTCAAAGTTTGTACTCCAGCGACTTCATTGAGCGAAATTCATTTAATTTTTCAGAAATTGAAATTTATAAAATGGTTTATTTGTAGTTTTTTAAAATTATTTATAAATAGATCATTTTTATTATTCTATTTATTTTATTTTACGTAAAGAATTTGAGTTAATTAAATAAAATCCACATTAATTAAAATATCAAGTGTGACTTCAAATCATTAACAACAATTATATGCTTAATTTTATCCTCCATTGAATAAAATTAGGACTTATATCTTGTTTTCTCATTAATTTTATTTTGAATCGTAGACGTTATTGTTCTTTTTATAAGAGTAGTTTGAAGGAAAGAAAAGGCGGGGATAGAGAAACAACTTTAGAAATGGCTTAAAGATTTAATTTCACGAATATTTCTGTTAATATAAGTCTAAGCTATTGTACTAAAGAAATTGACAAAGATCAAACCTGATAAGTTTTTGAATATCAGAAGGACTAAAATCGATAACTTTATTGTTAAGGGATTAAAACCGGTAAGTATATAGTTAAAGGACCAAAGCTGACAAATTTTTGAATAGTTAAAAGAGTATATGTTAAGTGTATAATTAAGAGACCATTTTAGACTCACTCCTACAGTTAATTGACTATTTATGTCATTTATGGTTTAAGTATTACTATTGTTCACTTTTATATATATGTTATATTAAAATTTGATGTTTATTTTACATATGTTCTATTTAGAAATGGCTAAGAGATAACACTTGTTTATAACGTCAATAAAAAAAATGATATATTTTAATGATAAAATTTATGTTTCATATTGTAATGTGTTAATATTTAAGTTTAATTAGTGAATACACTAAATTCTAATTTTGTTCATTACTTGGATAGTTGTAATTATATGAAGTTATAAAATGTATAATGATGTAATATGCTTAGTTGTGCATTAGTGACAAGATTTTTTGTCATTGATACAAAATAATGTTTAATGGTGTATTATTCAAAATTTGTATTATTCAATGAGTATCTGATATATTTGTGTCATATTAAATGATGTATCAGTCAAAACTTTCATTAGTCGGTGTGTATTAGATACATTATATCGAATTTTAATATATAAGTATCAGACATAAAAGTTTTGTCTAGTGATAAGCATAAACAAGTGATATAGCATGTAAGTATTAATGTGATTTTGTTTTGAATTATATGTATCTTCTTTGTTTTTATAATGTAACTTTTGCATCTTGAAGGGACTGTGGATTGTTTGTAGCTGCATTTTTTGAGTTCTTTAGCGATGAAATTCGTATTCCATCCAATGATTTTCTATCAAATTAATTACATTCGTACGCGATATGTAGTCCTATTTAAAAAGTTCGGTATCAAAAAGGCCAAGGCAAGATACGTTAGTGAAAATGAGGATCCATTAAAGCCTAAGAGTCATTCACAACACCAACTAAAGAGGATTTGGTTAATGTTGAATAGAGATTATCTATCAGTTGTTAGGCACCTTTTTAGAGTTATGATTTTTAAGATACATTAACTCTAGTTCTCTAGTTCTAGAGTGTTTATTTTTATTGTTTTAAGATACTTCTTTCTACTAAGTATTAGAGTATTTCTTCAAAACTTGATTATTTGACTTCAACTTTCATTATAATTAGTTTTTACTTACAATATGAATTGTCTTATACATTTGTCTTATATCATATGATACATAAATGTCATAAATTAAGTATCAAATTCATTCATGCTTACATATAAAAAAAAATCACAGTAGTTCTAGTTAGTTGCTAACACATGTGACATCTAATTAATACAATGTACTCGATAACTTGATTGTTGATTCATTCACGTATATACTTGATAACTTAGTTGTAGATAGTTGTTGATTCATTCATGTTGATAAATTGAACACTTAGTTGTAGTTAGTTATTGATTCATTCGTGCTGATAAATTGGACGCTTAGTTGTAGTTAGTTATTGATTCATTCATGCTGATAAATTGGACGCTTAGTTGTAGTTAGTTGTTGATTCATTCATGTATCCAATTGATAACATGATTCTTATTTATTATGATACATTTATAGACACTTTATTTCAGCTTACATGCATTATTTTTTCACAACCTTATTATATCAGGTACATTATTATCAACTTCAAAATGATACATTATATAAAAAAATGTATCTTATGAACTTAAAATTTTCCACAATTGCATATTATGTTTAAGACAAATAGTGTATCTTCTTTCATAATCATAGACTGAATAAAGAAACTCAGATGATGCAACAACCTGTTAACATTAGAAAATTAGTGAAACAATTCATAAATAGTTATTTCTATGTATCAATAACAAACAATCAGACAACTAACTTACTTAATATCTAATCCAAAAATATAATTTGATATATATCCTCATTAGCGAACATTTTGATGTCTTTACAACAAATTACATGTATATATAGTATATCATCTGTAAAATATGGTATTTCACAAACACAATAAGATACAAAAATAGTAATGTATCATGCTAAATATTTGGTCATGATACAAGATCTGATATATATTAACTATCGCACAGTAATGTGTCGAATTCTAAGCAAACACTTTACATGTAAAATTTACTTATTTGATGTGTCTAATTAATATGAATACAATATTTATCATTCTATACGAGATAACTAAATACTAATGTATCACGATTGATCTAGTCATCTCGAAAATACAAATAAAAAATTGAATTAATAACACAATTTATGTAATTCAATACCTCTACTATCAAATCTATTTTATGCTGAAATTAAAGTTCTGGTCTATTTTATACATTGCGAATCCAGTCTCATATTTTTTTTTCCAGATTCCTGAATGTTAGATCTATTTTTTTTCCAGATTTATGAATTAAAATATTCATGATGTATCTTATGGAAAAAAATGATAATTGTGAATCAAAATTGAAATCTTCGACGAATTGGAAAAAGTAATTGGAAATCCATCATTTCTGTATCTTTCATAACTCACCTTGCTTTCCCAAATTCCTGAATATCTCAACAAAATAGAAATATTCAACATGTATCAGCTATTGTTTTTGATTTTTTTTTGAATCTATTACGATTTGGATGATAATTTTAGAGAAGAAAATTTGAATTGTTTGAAGTTTGGCGGGTCTGGAAGAGAATTCAAAGAAAAAAGATTGATTTTTTTTAAGTTGTGCGGATTTAGAAAAGAATTGAGAAAATAAAATTTAAATTTTGAATTGATTGAAGTAGCATAAATGAATTTGCTTATATGTAGCAGATTTAATGTATCTGTTTTTGCTATGTATCAAAACAACACTAATTTGAGTAATTTTTATAAATTGAAAAAGTTGTTTATGTGATTTCTATTACTTTTAAAAATTCATGATAAAACTGCAAGATATTATTTTTTTATAAAGAATAATTTGAATGCGCAAAATTTTAACTTTATTTCACTTCATTTCCTGCTACAAGCCTAATTGACCTAAACTTCAAAACATGATTACTTATTCACATTTTGAATACCAAAATTTCAGAAATTTTGAGCCTGTTCATTAAATTCTAACTACTCTTATATATTTTATTTAATTTCTATTGTGGTATAACATGAGCAAATAGATGGATAACAAATAGTACCAGTGTTCTAGTGGTGGAATAGTATCATGCCACGGTATAGACCGAGTTCGATTCCCGATCGGTGCATTCTTGGGTTAGCTGTGAAGATAATGTTTGTGCTCAATGTGGTGATTTGGGTCTCCACACTCATTCGACTAAACATGGTGATAGTTGTACATAGGGGTGTCAAAAGAGCGGATTGGGTTGAAATTTGAGATACTAAAATAGGTTGAAATTAGAGTCGCATTGGATCTTATCCGCTCGATTTGACCTGATTAATCTCAATAATTTAACTTATTGATATTTAACTTGTATAACCACAATTTGAATTTCAACTCAAGATTTTTTTTTTTAAAAACGAATGGATAGATAAATCCTAAAAGATGTTAACTAGATAACAATTCATATCTTCAATGTAATCAGTTATTTAAAGATGATTTCATCAAATCAAAAGTATGCATGATCATAACTAAGTTGTGAAGTTTAGTTATAGAGAAGGTCGGAAAACAGTAACTCACGTTTTATGTTAGGTTTTGTTTGTACTTTGTTATAGGGTGTGTTTTTGTGATGGAGGAAAACATTTTTCGAATTTTTTTTTTCCAATTTTCTCATGTTTGGTTGGGTCAAATGTTTTTCAAATCAACTCATTTTCCTCAAATTTAAGGAAAATGACTTCCCTGCAAAACTTTAGGAAAACAATTTCCAAAATTCTCTTCCAACCTCCCAGCCCCCAATCCACCCCCTACCAGCCCTCCAACCCACCCCCTACCAGCCCTCCAACCCACCCCCTACCCCTAAAAAGGTTTAACTTTATTTTTAAAAAAATATTTTCAACTTGAAAATTTCATTTTTTCACCCCTACCCTCCCTCATCCCCCCAACCCCCCCTCCCCCCCCCCCCCCCAAAAAAAAAATTGTAAGTTTTTTTTAAAAAAAATATTTTAAACTTTAAAACTTTTATTTTTTCAACCCTACCTACCCTCGACCATTCCCCCTCCCAC